AAAAGGCTGTTAAGCACTTTGGTCAAGCGTGCATAAAACACATCGCAAACTGATTGTTTCATGTTCGCCTCATCGATACTTATGTTCTGTGACATACAAAGGTATCGCTTCTTTTTCAAGCCTCGGAAAGGTCCTTATGTTAGCGTCCTTATGTTGATGGGCATAGGTAAGTAAGCCTATGCCCTCAGAGTTATCAACCCTACCACCCCCTTCGACATAGAGGACCGTGCACTTATTCATCATGAGCTCCATTCTAATAGGATTGCTAAACTCACGCGTGATGTTTAGCAATTACATTAGATGGGAGCGACTGGAGGCGAATAACTTAAGATCATCCATATAGAAAAGGTGGGTCACTTTTGTACTTTCTGTCCTTTACGGAGCTGAAATCCCCTCCCGGAACCCTACAGTAAGGTACTGAGAAGGTTCAGAGAGAGGCAGAACCAGATTGGACTCAAACAATCGCCCTGGAAGATACCCATTCTTATCCTTATGTGGTTCTCCGCAGCCGTCACCCGCTCGCCTAGATGACAAAGGATCGTACTTCACTGCCCGAGGAAGTCTCTAACTGTACAGTCAAACTTGTACAGCTCGAGGACCCTCTTCAGCCATGTATGAGGCAAAGAGTCAAATGCCTTTTTGTAGTCTATCCAGTCAACGGAGAAGTTCCGCCGGTTGCGTTTAATCACCTTGCCAATGACCGCGTCAATGAGGAGTGGTTCCCTGGTTGTACGACCACCGCCCCGACATCCATTTTGAGCGCGCGACATCACCTGAATTGAGTTCAGGTGACGAGTGATTCTCGCGCTCAAAATGGATGTTAGTGTCTTGTATATCCCTTTCGGTCCCAGTACTCACAATTGTGACGGTGACTTTGTCAATTTTTATAAAATTAAACAATAGCCGTGAGTTGACGGGGACAGCGTCACACGATCGTGCGTGTAGTTCGGTTTATTATGACAAAGAGCAGTGGAATTAAATAACAATAATTTTGACTCAGTCGCCATTTGCCGCCTAGCAACAGACACGTGTTACGCGCCAAAATTAAACATACCTGTTTGTCACGTAAAAGTAAGTAAAAACTATAATGTTATTGCAATAATTCGTTTGAAAAAAGCTAAATTCTCGATAAATTATGTTTTTATTCGTCCTTTCGCGTTTTTAGTTTGTCTTTTTCGACTTTACTTTTAGATGTCACAATCGTGAGGGTTCGGGCCCAACGTTGGTCGGATTAGTGATTATTTATACCAATTATTTTATGTTAAAAACCCTCTTGTTTACTTTTCAGCCTATTTGATACATCGTTATGGATAGAAATAACTTGGCTTTTGACCCTGATGCTATAATGGATCAACTGGCTGACTCGGATTTGGGCGAGGACTTTGACGACGATAATGATTGGCATCCACCTGGTCAGCTAACTAATTCTAGCTCGGATAACGAAGACGAGCAAGAAGCAAGAAATTCAACAGTAGCAAGTCCATCATCGTCGAATAAATGGATTCGCAGACGATTCGTCGGTAAACCCATGCCTACACTGATCTCGGAGCCGACGGAAGAAGTACTTACTCCAAGTGAATACTTTGATAGGTACTTTACTGGAGAAATTTACGAGTTATTTGCTTTTAACACGAATGTTTATTATCAGTCGAGTTTTAACAAACAACTTAATCCTCCGGTTACTGCGACAGAAATTAAAAAGTTTTTTGGTATTAATGGAATCCTGGGCTGCATTAGATATCCTAGAATCAAGATGGTGTGGATGCAACGATTTAGACTATCTTGTATTGCAGAGGCAATGGCTCGTGAAAGATTCTTTCTTCTCAGAGTAAACTTACACATAGTAGATAAGGGATCTGTATCACCTGAAATACAAACTCAGAACAAACTGTGGCTTGTCCAACCACTGATAGATGCTGTAAGGGGCAGATGCTTACAGATACCTAGAGATCAATCTCACTTTTCAATAGATGAACAAATGGTGCCATTCCTCGGTAAGTGTCCTGTCAGACAATTTGTGAAAGGCAAACCGAGACCAGTGGGCCTTAAAAATTATGTCGTGACATCATCGAAAGGATTAGTGCTAGATTTTGAGCTCCATCAAGGCGATACCACTCCACTTTCAGACAGATCTTTGGGCCTTGGACCCGCTATAGTTTTACGTTTAATAAATACCCTGCCCAGAGGAAGTTTCGTCTATTTTGATAGATATTTTACGACCATTCCATTACTTGAGAAGATGTTAACGCTTGGAATTGAAGGCACTGGAACAATAATAACCAATAGATTTAAAGGATACCAGTTTCCCAAAGACTCTTCAATGAATCGGGGTGATTATCACGAGGTTGTTAACAATAAAAAAGATATCTGTGTCATTAAATGGAAAGACTCCAAAACAGTATTAACTTGTTCAACTGCTATTGGAGCCCTGCCATTGCATAAGGTCCAGCGTTACGATAAAGTTACAAAATCATACATCGAAGTAACTTGCCCTGATATGATTAAAAATTACAACGAACATATGGGAGGTGTAGACGTCAGCGACCAAATGATGGAGGTCTACAGATCATGGCATAAAACTCGTGTGACAACAGTGGTACGAGTATCGCCAATCATGTGATAGAAATAAAGTCAAGAACTCTAATATCATGGATTTTCTGGACTTTAAAATATGCGTATCTGATTTTCTACTTGGCGGCTCAACGAGAAAACGCACCCGACAAGAATTCGAAGAAATGGCAAAGATGGCTTCAACATCTCACTATCAACCTGCACCTATTCCAACTATAGATTTTTATTGTATCTAATTACTCCAAAAATAGAGGTTAAAAGAAGCGTTATATTTTTGTTACTTATTAACAATAAGAAATTAAGTTAATATTGATTATAAAATAAATAATTAGTCCTAATTTTTAATTTTATTTGAATATTGTTATTACTCTCACGATCGTAAGGGTAGCTATAGTTGGGCCCGACATAGTACGATCGTGAGTATCGTGGAAAACAGTTTTCCCATTTTCCCAGATTTTTTAAGACCCCTTTTTTGTAATCTGCGCATGTTATTTGCCCCAAATCAGTTCTGTAATATTCGTTAAGTAGCGCCGTCACGGCACGGGTCTGAAAGGGATACGGTGGGTAGACACGTGATGGCGCGGCATTTGCTTGGGTCTGTGGTATCCTGGTATTTTGGAACCAAATGAGTGACACCAGTATTGAAGAGGCTCGGGAGCGACATCTGGTCGAGAACGTCTTGAAACTATCGGGTAAACACAGCGCGACACACATCGAACCCTTTCAGCCAGCAGTGATGCAGCCCGTCGAGCCCCGGACTTTTCCAGTTCGGAGCCCTACGGACCGCCTCACCTATATCATCCGGCGTTAGGATGACGGGGTCCATGGGCGTAATATTCGCACACTGACTCGCCACAACATCGGTCCAAGGGCCTTCGCTGTGGTTTACGGGCTCTGACCACAGGTTACGCCAGAATGCGACAGTGTCGGCCTGATTCGGTACTGGGCCCGTTCCACGTAACATTGGTCGCTCCAGGGATTTATGGAGCCTCTTCTGATAACTCTGGAAGAGACGATTCTGGTTGAACCGTGTCGACCTCTCGGTATACCGCCGAATCCGCTTCCCCCAAGCAGCGATTTTCTGCTTCTGGTCGTCTATGCGCTTCGTCAGTTTTTGCATTATATCTGGCTGGGACCAACTGATATTTGTCCCAGCAAACGCCATCCTGACGGTGCGCACAATTCTTGGCCTGTTATTGCCCGACCTGAAGCTTGAAAGTCTGCCGATGAGGGGCTCTTGCCTTTGCGATACGGTCCTCAATTCTTTTTTTCTAGGCTGGGATGGCGCTACTTTGTGTAGTCGCACGTCCAGCCGCGGAGAGCTTGGCGCCAATAATACGGCATAGTGGCAGTGCAGCGCCAAAGGAATTGAGTTCGTCTCGTAAAGGTCCCGGCTGGCTTCCAAATAGGTCACCAGCATTAGGTTTACAGCCCTCGCGACAGCCCGATTGGGCTTGCTAAGGGGTATGCGGGGAAGTCGCGGTCAATTCTAGAAAAGCGTACTACGTGTTAACCTAATCGCCTCTTCCAATATGCTCCTTATTTGGTCATGTTCCTAGGCGACTATTCCATCATCGTCTGAGTCTACCACAAGAAGATCTACGGCGGCATCTACGTGTGCGGGTTGCTCTGCAACTCGTAGAGCCGCATCTCCTGTCGTAGTATTGCCATCCGATGAGGAAACAACCTCACGTTGTAGCCGTTCGAGTTCGGCGTCGTCAAATATTTTGAGCGCATGATGTATCGAACTCGGTTTGCCAAGTTTTTGCTCGGTGATAGTAATAGATGACTCCAGCTCAGCAAATAGGCATTGCATCATATTTGCATCCTAGCCGTTGCATCTATGTTGCGCTACCATTGCATCCTAGCCCAGTACGCAAAACTTCCAACTTCTCTCTTTTTGCCCTAAAATATGCTCGCAATGCGTTCTTATTCAATTCAATTGTCCATCGCATGCGGTGTACTCCATGAGTGGCGGATACCGTTTGCTGAGTCCGGCAGTACACTGCCGACACCAAGCCATCTGGTGGGGATGAGGGATGTAAGGGGCTACGAGGTTTTCGTGCAGCCCCTCGCGCTCGGATGGCGGCTCGTATGCTGTCGCATCCAGCGACAGCTCCAGACGCGCCTTCCAGGCAGCGGCCCTATACGCGTTTCTCTTTGTGCCATCATCCATTTTATGGGCGTCAATAAACGGTAAACGCCCAGATCCGGCGCCGTTTCATGATGGGGCCATATGCACAAGCGGGCCTCCCTCAATTTTGCCGAGGCACGGCGCTTGGCAAGCGCTGACTGACTCCGCTGACGTAGCAGTTTTGTCACTTAACTGTTACGTCAGCGGGTCATGGGTTTGTCACTCTTCTACGCCATTTAATTATTATTATTAATATATATTAAGTAAAGGTTAATTTATGAAGAAAAATACTCACGATGTGGAAAACGCAGCCGAGCAGGAAGAGGTCTGGCGGCAGCTTGAGGTTGGGGTTGTGTCCGTAGAACTGCGCGCGCGGGGGCGCGGCGCGCACGCCGGCCGCCGCGGCCGCGCCGCCCGCGTACACCTTGCTGCCCACCACGCCCACGCCCACGCCCACGCCCACGCCCGCCCCTACAGCCTGCCCGATACAACTATTTGTTAATATCTAACATCTTTCTTCTCGCTTTCACACCATCTGTGGGAGTGATTTCTTGAAAAGGGACGGAAGTGTGTCCCAGGAAGCCGGGGAAGCACACGCTATTTCATTTGTCCAATGAGCGCGCACGGGCAAACCGGAGAAGCGCACGTTATTTGATTTGGCCAATGAGCACGCGCGGTGATAAAGTGTGCTGTTATATAAATTAATAGAAATGTGTAAACCCTATTAATAAATCTATTTACTGTTAATAATAATATGTTGTAACATTTTTCATTAAAAAAATGTTACAACCTATAATATTATTGAGAAAATGAGGATACATTAACACGAAACAAAGCAACATTATGCTGCTATTTTGCAAGCGTAGTTATAACCGTGTACAGGCGGTGTAAGAATATCCATTACACCATGTCGTCCCAATGGTGTCGTAAGAGACGATAGAGGGAAACCAGAAGATAAGCCTATAATAAACCTCTTCCTAATATTAAATAGAAAATAAATATTGCGGTTGCCAACACATCCGCAGTGTAGCAACTATGGTAAATATCCCCGTTTAGACGTAATCAATAAGGAGGCGTATGTTTAGTAGTGAACTACGATAGGTTGAAATGGATAATGGATGGATGGTCATTCACAGTCGAGGGTACCCACGCTGCAGCCATCAATGCAGTGAGGCCCTAGCAGGTTAAATAATTTCTAATAACAATAATATCTTCCAGATTGAATTTTGGTCTCGGCGGTCAGTCTAGTGTATTACGCAAGTATAAGGAGAACCTCTCTATTTCCTCGGGTAAAAAAGGATTTTATAGAGTGTAATGGATGGATCGTTGAGTGTAGGTGCGTGCGGGTGTGTGCGCGCGCGCGGTGTGTGTTTGTGTGTGTGTGTGTGTGTGTGTGGCTGTGTGCGCGCGATGTGTGCGTGTGTGAGCGCGTGTGCGTGCGGCACCTGGTGCGCGTGGTGCGCGGGGCCCAGCAGCAGGCGCGCCGGCGCGCGCACGCCGCCCGCCGCCGCGTGTGCCGCATGCGCCGCGTGCGCCGCCGTCATCAGCCTGACACCAACACAACACATTGTTAATACCTTTTTAAATTTGCTTCCATAGTAGGAGGCAATTTAGAAAACTGATAATAACAATATCAGCAGTGTACGGATCATCACACAATAATAAAAAAAAACATGCATGACTCTTCAATTTAGGTCACTTGAAAACAATATAGTACGTGAGGGTAATATGGCCATCGGGTTAATTTCTTATAACTCAAAAGTACAGCCTTATTTGCATAGATGGCTTTATGATACGATAGCTCTTCATCAATCATTCAAATAATAAAGGGTCGAAAAGGCGCCGCTTTATCGACGCCATTTTGACCGTTGATATTATAGTAAATATTTTAGTCGATTTTGGCATTGGTTAGTGTAGTTAGTTTTTTTTTTAAGTTGATTTTTCGAAGTGTTCCTATTTATTGCAAAGGTATGTTTGCTATTTTTTTCTTAATATATTAGTTATAGTATATGACATTGTGTATTTGTCTCTGTCCTCCTCTTAATTCTGGTTTTATAGGGCGGCAAAAGTTAAGGTGACCATATTACCCTCATGTACCTTATTATTTGTTAATTACGCACACGCTTCTTCTGTACTTCTGCTTATACATTAATTTTATAATTCCTTTCAACAAAATCACTACTAGAACGACATTAATTGGGTTTGTTTCGTGTACTAACTTTCGCTTACATGTTGTCTCGCACTCGTCCTGTAAACGAGATACTGATTGGTGTTGCAGCTACATATCTATCATCTGCATCCAAAATTTAATTAAACCACTCAAATGCTAAACATTCATAGAAGTTGTTACGTTGAGTAAAGACTTCGACGCATCGTGTGCAGTAAGGAAGGGAACGCCGTCATTTGGATGTCGTCTCGTTGCGTCACATAATTTCCGTTTAGTATAAATTTTCACATGAATACGTGTATATATTTACATAAAACACGGCACTCGTGCACGTCAAAACCACCCCCCGTTTTTTGTTCCTTTCTTTGTTAATGGACTCGTACTACTCGTGCATAATTACATGAGACCTGAATCCGTTGACGTCACAGCGACTTGCTTGCACAATGTCGGAGAAGCAAAGCGCATCGTCTTGCGTCGTGAGGTCGCAGGGAGGTGCGACGTAGTACGGACGGGAACGTCGCATTCCACGATGGTCTCATAGTATTTTGCACGCGTAATATAGCTCTTTTGCCAATATCAAGTAATAGGAAATTATCCTTTATAATATTTTTAGTTTGAAAGTTTCCCCACAACATGTTGATGCATCATATTGTCAGGTTTCGATGACGATAGTATCTCATGTTCTTAAGGCGCCTAAGCAGTCAAAATAACTTGAGACTTATATATATATAGAAGTTTCATTAGTAAAAGTTCGAACGCGCAGACAATACACAAAATTGCATTATTATTACGTATCAAAATCTAGTTCAAATCATTAATGAAGCGATAAAACGGGAACAGTCTAAAATTGGTAACAGTTGTACATTAGGTGGCATAATTTAAACACTGTCTGTCTCGACTACGCACCTCAGCGTGCCGGCTGCAGACGGCTCGTGATCGGGAGGGGCAGCGCCCCCTTGTAAGCGGATACTCAGCATGTTGGCCAACGCTGTCTTTGTCTTTGGGTTCACCAGCAGTGTATTGCCAGCTGCACCTGCTAAAAATAAAGTAAATATTTAAGTATACAAATCCAAAAATTGCCCAGGTATAAGATTTTAGAAACCATATGTGTGCAATTTAAATCCCAATCTTCCATTCTTTTCCCGTAAAAGTCCACCGGAAAAAACCCATGCGACATGCATGGGTTTTTTCCGGTGCAAGAAAGATTTAAACACCTAGCTTTTAGTTTTCAGTCTATATACTCACATATATACTTAGGTATACAAAAGAATAATATCTATTTTGTTCATTTGTATTCATTACAATAACCCTAAAGTTCTATATAGTTACATATTTGCGGATCAACAATGGGATAAATTTATTGACGATGAAGAAGAATCTAGAGTTTAATAATTGAAAGCAACTTACCTTGCTGCTGTTCAGGCGTCTGTGTCAATAGAGCTGCGTCAACCGGTTGCTCAGTCAACGTCGTCGCACCCACCACATGCTGTGTTACACCAGGGCCCACCTACAATAGTTAAATTACAAAAGTAGTAAAATCTTCTTCTTTGTTAGCCCATAGAAATCCACTGCTGGAGCAGACATATTTTTTTTTATAGGATAAGGTGACAAACGAGCACACTGTCCACCTGATGGTAAGTGGTTGCTGAGGCCCATAGACATCTACATTTATCATCGTTTGCGAATCAAAATGCAGATGCGTTGTCACCCGTGAGGACTAAGATAGAATGCCTCTAGATTGACGGTCGTAGTACCAGATATCTCACACCTTTGACGCTGCTCCGTGTCGTCAGTCCTTGTACCACCAGGACTCTCGCACGCCACCACCACACAGGTTTAAAGTAATAATAGTAAAACTGATGTAATTACTAAGTATACAATGAATACCACTATTATAATGTAGTTGAATAGGTATTACCATTTTAACAATATGCTTGAAATGTTTGCTCCATTTTTTTTATGGCTACGAGGGCGGCACTGAAAATTTCGGGAATCAAGGAAGTGACACAACATTACTATTTAAAAATGTATTTATTGCTTTTCGAAGTATTCTCCGCGAAATTTGACACATTTTTCCATACGATGGAACCAATCATTGAAGCAACCATTCCATTCGGAAGTTGGGTTCTCCAAAATGGCCGTTTTGTAGGCGTCCACAGCTTCTTCAGGTGATGAAAATCTCTATCCACGCAATTTATTCTTTATTTTAGGGAAAGTATAGAAATCATTAGGGCTTAGGTCGGGGCTGTACGGCGGATGGTCTAATAATTCTATGTTTTCTTGCTCTAAAAACTCTTTTGTTCTGTGTGCGGTGTGAGAACTCGCATTGTCGTGATGGAGGATGATGCGGCGGTTGCAGTTCTCTTTACGGAGTTCAGAAACGACCTGTGGCAAACAAATGCTAGCATACCATTCTGCATTAACCGTTCTTTGTCTCTCAAGAGGAATAGTCGTAACATGGCCGGTTTTGGAGACAAACGTGGCCACCATTTTTTTTGCAACACTCCGTGAACGAACAATTTTTGTTGGCTTTAACTCATTTTTTTGACGGTGGTAGAGCCACGCAGCAGTTTTTGCTGTTGCACGTATGGGCCGGGTCGAGCCGGTGCCACGACCTCACAGAATACCGGCGTGAAGTAGAGGCTCTGCTTCTGCATTGAGTGCAGGTGGTCGGAGGCCCAATTCCCCCCCCCCCCCCCCCCATCAACATGGTAGCAGAATTACACGATAAACTACCCCAGGAGAGTACAAGTACTCCTGAGCGTGCCTCTATAGGTCCCATAGCAGTAATGCCGAAACAGACCGACTCATCGACCACGTCCAAATGGCTACAGATTCCTTGCTACAACAGGTCCCATCCCCAGAGATCGTGATCCTTGGCGATTTTAACGCCCACCATGCCGAATGGTTCGGTTCACGTTTAACCGATCATGCGGGGAGATCTGTTTATGACTTTGCCTTGGCATATGGTCTGACACAACTGGTTACTTCGCCTACGCCTACTTATCCTTCCAGATGTGGAGGATCATACACCTTCCCTGTAGGACCTTCTGCTGACCTCTCATCCGGACGGATATCAGGTTTCCGTCGATGCCCCTCTCGGCTCTACGGACCATTGTCTGATCCGGAGTGTAGTGCCACTCACGCTCCCTTCGCCGTTGCGTTCTGCAGGTTGCCGCCGTGTTTGGCGTTACAGGTCGGCAGACTGGGACGGAATGCGGTCTTTCTTTGCATCCTACCCATGGGGGCGGGTTTGCTTCTCGCCGGATGATCTCAGCGCTGTTGCTGACTCTGTCACTGATGTGGTGCTACAGGGAATGGAACTATTTATTCCATCATCTGTGGTACCCATCGGAGGCAGATCTCAGCCTTGGTTTGGTCGCTCCTGTAAGACTGCATTACGCAGTAAGCAGGAGTGTTATCAAGCCTGGGTTGCGGCTTCGGCGACTCGGGATGTAAACACCAGCACACTTAAAACGAAGTATAACTTCGCCTCCAGTTCCTTCAAAAGAGTTATTGCCAAGGCAAAGTCAGAGCACATAGGCAGAATTGGCGAGAAACTAGTTCGCCTTCCTTCGGGAACCCGTGCATTCTGGTCTCTCGTCAAAGCTGTCCAAGAGAATTTCTGTAAGCCATCACTACCATCTCTGCACAGGGAGGACGACTCACTGGCCCAAGACGCAAAAGACAAAGCTGACCTTTTAGGCTCCCTTTTTGCGTCCAACTCGACTCTTGATGACGGGGGGAAAACACCGCCGACCATCCCGCGGTGTGAGTGCTCCATGCCGGATGTGCTGTTCTCACAGCGCTCGGTTCGCAAAGCACTTCTCTCCCTGGACATCCAGAAGTCGAGTGGGCCTGACGGAATCCCCCAATTGGGCTGAGGACGCGTGCTCCGGAGTTGGCACCGGTCCTAACGCGTCTTTTCCGGTACTCCTACTCCCAAGGCGTAGTCCCGAATTCATGATAGACAGCTTTTGTCCAACCGATCCCTAAAAAAGGCGACCGCTCAGACCCGTCCAACTATAGGCCTATCGCGATCACCTCCATGTTCTCCAAAATAATGGAATCCATTATTAACTGCCAGCTCATCCGGTACCTTGAGGATCACCAGCTGATTAGTGACCGCCAATACGGTTTTCGTCGGGGTCGATCAGCTGGTGATCTTCTGGTCTACCTGACCCATAGATGGGCGGAGGCGGTAGAGTCCAAGGGGGAGGCGTTGGCCGTTAGTCTGGACATTGCAAAGGCCTTCGATCGGGTTTGGCACAAAGCGCTTCTTTCGAAGCTCGCTACCTATGGGCTTCCGAGAAATTGTGCAATTGGATCACCAGCTTCCTTGCAGATCGGAGCATCAAGGTCGTTGTAGACGGTGCATGTTCTGACTACAAGCCTATTAACGCTGGTGTTCCACAAGGCTGTGAGCTATCACCAACGCTTTTTCTTCTGCATATCAATGATATGTTGCTAACTGGTAACATTCATTGCTATGCGGATGACAGCACTGGTGATGCTCTATACACCGGCCGTGCCAATATTTCTCGGAAAAACGTCGCCGAGTACCGGAACAAACTTGTGTCTGAAGTCGAGTCTTTGCTGAACAAAGTCTCGGATTGGGGGCGACTAAATCTAGTCCAATTTAATCATCAGAAGACACAAGTTTGCGCGTTTACCGCTAAAAAGAACCCCTTTGTCGTATCTCCTCAGTTTCAAGGCACTCCCCTTCTTGCCTCAGCCAGTATCGGTATCCTCGGAGTCGACATATCGCGTGACGTGCAGTTTCGTGGTCACTTGGAAGAGAAGGCCAAATTGGCCTCTAAAAAGCTTGGCGTGCTCAGCAGAGCGGGACAGTATTTCATGCCGACACAACTTTACAAGGCGCAGGTTCGGCCTCACATGGAATACTGTTCCCATGTCTGGGCAAGGGCTCCCCAGTGCCAGCTCCTTCCACTTGATCGCAACCAATCGTCGACGACCGAGTCCTTTCCGATCGGCTCGATTCATTGGCACTGCGAAGAGATGTTGCATCCCTTTGCATTTTTTTTCGCATCTACCATGGGGAGTGCTCTGAGGAATTGTTCGGATTTATCCCAGCCGCCAAATTTCACGAACGCACATCGCGGCAGAACTCCCCATACCATCCACACCATCTGGATGATTGGCGGTCCACCACTGTGCGATTTAGAAGATGTTTTCTTCCTCGCACGACTTCCTTGTGGAATCGATTACCATCAGCGATTTTTCCGGACCGATACGACTTAGGGACCTTCAAGAAAAGAGCGTACTCCTTTTTAAAAGGCCGGCAACGCATCTGCAATTCCCTCCCTGGTGTTGCAGTTGTTCATGGGCGTGCGGTAGTCACTTACCATCAGGTGAACCGCATAGTCGTTTGCCCCCTCCTATAAAAAAAAAATTTCGAACATCCAAACTCGTGACTGGTTTTTTGTTTCGGGTTCGTACGCGTATATCCAGGATTCGTCACCTGATACGATGTTGTATACAGCATTTGAGGATCCTGATTGGAATCTTTCGAGAGTAACTCGAGCCGCTTTTTGCTCTTCACAGAGCGACTGCGGTATCCATCGGGAAAACAACATTTTTACACCTAATTGTTCATGCAAGATTATTTGTATTTGACTCATGCCAATGTCTAAAGTTGCCTGAATTTCGCGGTATGTCACATGTCGATCTACCTCAATCAGCTTACGCACAGCATCAACGTTTTCTTGGGTGACTGCAGTTTTTGGACGACCTTGACGGGGATCATCACTGAGCTTGACACGTCCACGTTGAAATTCAGCAAACCAGCGATAAATTGTGGTTTTGGATGGATCTTCATCACCAAATGCAGAAATCATCCGGTCAACACACTGTTTTTGTGTTAAACCACTTCGAAAGTCATAATGAATTTTCTCGAGTCAATTCCATTTCCTCAACGACTAAACAAGTTTGACAAAACCTTGTGACAAGACCGAGAATCTTTTTTTAAATAAATAAATGGTATTCAATTTAAAAAAAAAATACCAAGGACTTTTCAATTAAAAAGATTTTAATATGACAGGAACAGTGGATATATTCCATTCCCGATACTTTTAGTGCAGCCTATGTAGTAATTCGCCGATTTTATTTTTGATTCTGTGAATATTTCAAACTCCTTTTTTGAAATTGACTTAACGTATGAATCGTTAAGATTCCCCTATACTATGCCAGCGCGGCAAGCATGGGAATAGCCTCTAGGAATCTCCTATCATAGCAGAATCTCATGTCCAGTTTACTGCATGAAGGAGACGCTTTTATTTACATTATTTTCTGTTTGACACGTCAGTTTTTATTAAAAGCCAGTGTTGAAATAAAAATGGGCATGCCTGCTACTGCTCGTTAATTTTGTCCGAAGTACTGGCACAATAACAATGCTACGGCATTGTTTTTTATTGAGTCGGTAACTGTTATATTGCTGCCGCCGTAAAATGTTCTTTGTCTTGAATTTATTGTGCTATCGTGTTGAGACTGCGAATACAAATTATTTTCTGCTTTCTGATGATCCACTACAAACATACTCTCCGTCTTGTAGTTGCTTCAAGCACTGGTACTGCTGTAGGATGGGCACGCTCACCTGTTTGACGGCTGCGTGATGATGCGCCACGTGCTCCCTTTGCGCCTGCAGCTGCTGCAAGCGCTGGTACTGCTGCTGGCGCTGAAGCTGCTGCAGCTGCGTCTCTACCGCCCCGCCGCCAGTTCCTGTGCCCGCGCCCACGGGACTCGCCACAGGAGCCCCGCCAACTGTAAACACCGATAAATATTTTCGAGTAAGAACCACTAACAGGCAGGGATTCATTAAGTAATTTATTGATATAAGGATCGCCAACTGATACATCACTATCACTAATACATCATGAATAATTTTTGATTTATTTATTATTATTAAGATTTTTTTTCATTTATCTCAGTATCAAGTGATAATAATCCTTTTATAGTACACTGCTTCACAATATGTTGATTCGTCACATTGCGTAGATTTTGGGAGATTTTGACGGCAACTTTAGCCAGCAGACAGTTGGCGATTGTATCCAAAGGCACCTAAGCATGCAGACGCCTTATTTTGAGATTCACATCACCATCGTAGCTCTTGTTTCACCGTTTCCGCTAATAGTTCACATGTGGAGACATTTAATACACAAAATCGCACCACTTTTACATATCAAAGTCCACTTCAAACCATTATTTAAACAATAATACAGAAGGAGCAATCCGCCGCCGGTCAAGTTCCCGCCAAAACTTCTTTGACATTCTGACGTGCACCCTAATAACAGATAACCATAAAAAAGACTTCTATGTTGCCGGTCTACACTATTAGTCCGGCAATCCAGTGCAACAACGGTGTCGCTGCTGTAGCGGCCCGGGCGTCGGATAGGCGTGCAGCTGGCACGGTAAAAAAAAAGTGCCACGCACTTGTTTTTTCATTTACGATAGTTACTGTTTTCAGGCAATTAAAATATAAAGTTACGTACTTATCTGAAATGAACTTTAAATCACATTGACAAAAAGCGCATATAATAAATAACAGCGTTTTCTTAGTCACACTAAATAAAATCAGTGTTAGATTGTCGAAAACAACGTTCGCGGTTTTCAAGACGCGGTCTTCTCGCCCGCTAGCAGAGTTACGGAAAATTGACCGTAACTTAGTGCGCAATGTATTAAGGTTACCATAACATTGACATTTCAATGTTAATATGAAAAAAATATAAAAATTCTTGATAATTAAATAAATATTTTAAATACTTAAAACATTATTTTAAAAAACATGCGCTTGTTATTGGTTAGATATGTATATATTGCTGAGAATATAATAAGCAAATAAAAAACGTAAGCGCCGCCAGTCACCCGCTATAGGATCCAGTCGCTTTCAATAGCTATGTTAAAAACTAAACGCAATTTGATATAAAATTATGATGATGTATGTTTGTAGAAATAAAATCGACCACAATTTTGGGTATAGCTAACTAAATTAAAAAAAAAATCTTTCTTAGTTCGAGTTCGTCTTGTATTATATTTTTCTTTAGATCTATAAAATTATAATATAAAATTCAGAATTGCTCGAATACCGCGTTGTTAGCTTCACTTTTACGAGATGACGAAAAAAAAAAGATATTTGACTTACATTCCGATTCAATAAAATCCATCTAGTAACTGTGTTAATTATCACAAAGTTAACCACTCTCTAACAAACAAAATTCCAAAAATCTTTATGACCTTAATACTCCATAAAACACTTGTTACGAATGGTACAAAGAGAAATACTAAATCTAATCGATGTTGGTTTAGAAGGAAGCAGCTTTGAATTTATAATGTTTGATCAGGCGTCATCACATAACTATGTATGAAGCGTAATCTCAATACCAAAACTCTTAAGTCGAGCATTCCTCCGGGACTGCTTAAGGTATTTTTTTAACCAATTTGTAACTTTTTATTTATGGATGGCGTTGATAGCAGAGTCGGGAGAACAATTTCGAATATTTCATTTTTTTACTTAAGATACACCGAACTTTTCAAAACTATTGACAAGTCTTTCATATCTTTAACATTAAATTATCTTTTCCTCGAATAAAATTCACATTTTATTATAAATGGCACATTTTAGACAAGTTTAAAAACGAATGAAGTTTTCGATTCCATTGTACGGTATTTTTGCTTTTTTGTATGTATGTATACAGGGTTATTTTGCAATAACCGGCCAAATTTGCAGATAAGGTTCAGAATAAGTAATATAGACAAAAGGTGAAGAGAAATTAATTTAAAAAAAATCTCAAACATTCTGTCCTTTTTATCTTTTAAATTCAAAATGTGTGTAATTCATTATTTTAATTTACTTTACTGCGCACGCAGACATTCGTCAGGGTAGATCGGTAGGCAAAAACGTTGTTGCCCATAAATCACATTCAATTTGGGATAATTTCAAATAAAAGTAGAAGTAAGGCTTCTACTTTTTACTCGTATTTTCAAAAACTGCAATAACGGATCATTGTTTATATATTTGAACTTAAGTTAAAATTTGGATACTCTTTGAAAAATATTTGAACCCTGTATATGACGAATAAATGTATATTCGATATATGTTACATATGAACGTCAATTGTAAACCGATTTTAATGATCTGAATTTGAATGTGAGTGATAAAATTACTGTGTGGGAGCACCATTACTAAAAGGAAATCGTTCTTTATAGTTATGTAAACAAAGCATACCATCCAATTTTAAAATCCAAAGTACACACCTCGAACGGGACGATTTACAATAGTGAAATTCAAAAGGCTTCCTCAGGGTTAAAATCTAGAGGTAATTAAAAAAAATCAAAGCGATAAGTTCAGTTCATATCCGTACCGACCAACTGACGTCTAAATGAAAATATTTTCAATTAAGTATTTTTAATAATAATAACACAATTAACCACACAACAAATTAGAAATAGCTTGGTAGCGATCACCTCATTCAACTTGTCTATCTCCTCTTCCAGGATCTTATCGTCAGCACTCAGGGAGCGTGCGTTATATGTTGCCAGGTCGAGTCGTCTTAGGTGACAACCGATGAACCTCCACCGGAGATTCTTAGCACCCGCTGCCCCGCGGTTACCATGGTCGCCTCCGTAGCCAGGAACAGCGGGGCCGACGGGGACTGGGGGCCGTTTTTTCCACGCTTGGCGAGCGGATTGGCAAACGCAGTTTTTAATTGTAATTTTAGTATTCTTACCCGCCACTACACGGGAGGGTAACCAACGGGACCCTATTGCTAAGCCTCCGCTGTCCGTCGGTCTGTCTGTCAGCGGGCTGTATCTCATGATTCGTAATGGGTAGACAGTTGAAATGTTTACAGAATGTGTATTTCTATCGTCGCTATAACAACAAATAATAAAAATAAATTTAAAATTAAAGGGGGCTCCCCTACTAGGAACGTGTTTTGCGATGGTACTGAACCTTTGATGCTCGAGTTCGACTCGCACTTGGCTGGCTTTTTATTTGAAGTCGGTTGAAACGATACAAATTTAACTTTTAATATGTGATAATAGCGTGTGATCGTACCTGGCGATTGTGGCGGCTGTGTTGGCGCCGGAGCGGGAATAGTTGTCGTGCGAGCGCCTTGCTGTTGTAGCCATTGCACCTTGAAAATATTTTTGAAATATATTACCACACAAATTACGGTACGGGTTACACAAGAGCATTGTTACCAGGGCGGTTATTATATAAGTCTCGTGGTCTCACAGTCACTTTGACTTAAAGTGATAGAGAAAGCACGAGCCTTAAAGGAGTCTTAAAAATTGAGTAGCGTTTTTGAGAAACAGAAACAGAAACTTTTTTATTCAATATAGATTATAAATAATACTTATTGTAAGTACACTCTTTTGTTTAATTAACACTGGTTCGAAAAAAAAACCTTTGTCCTGGGAAGAACCAGCAAGAAACTCAGTGGGACTTTTTTTAAAAAAAATAACAACTTACAATCATGTTCTTTTTTTTATAGGATAAGGGTGACAAACGAGTACACAGTCCACCCGATGGCAAGTGGTTGCTGCGGCCCATAGACATCTACATCTATCCTCTGTTACAAATCAAAATGTAGATGCGTTGTTACCAGTGAGGACTAAGATGGAATGCCTCATTTCCAGTAAAAAGGGCCTCCGGCCACCTGCACTCACCAAGCGAAACGCAGAGGTAAACCTCTACTTCACGCTGGTTTTCTGTGAGCTCGTGGTACTACCCCGGTTCGAGCCGGCCCATCCGTGCGACAGCAAAAGCTGCCGCGTGGCTCTTCCACTGTTCGTTACACAATTAACAACACAACAAATTAGAAATAGCTTGGTAGCGATCACCTCATTCCCAGAGGTTCTTATCGTCTATAAGTTCCTTAATATTATAATAAACCTTTTTATACAAACTTTGTTTAATAAAGATTTTGAACTTTGAGCAGGTCAAATTATATTAAATTTCTAGAATTTTGTTGTAAAAGCGTAAACATCGCCTCAAGAATGAATTATTGACTCGGTGGAGTCGAGTAACTGGTACTACTAGCTTGTGTCTGTTCCTAGTATTTACAGAATGAATATCACTTATTTTTGTAAAACTACTTTTATTATTTTCATAAATGTATTGAGAGACCAAGTTAATATATTAATTTCCTTAAAGTTTTGTCGGAGCGACTCTAAGTTTTAAATCATAGATTGCTCTTATGGCCTTCTTTTGTAATTGTATTTGAGTATTTGGGCATGATCTTAGATCTATTTGTTGCACTTACCGGCGACCTCGTCGCCCTCATTCGCATTTATAATATTAGTAAAGAGTAAGGATTTCATAGAATAATCAGCCACCACGAGAAGCAACCGCAGTGTTGTCACAATCCACTACTACATAATATCATCTCGTGGGTGTCGGTAAGAGGCAACAGAGGGAAAAGAAACAAGAAATGGGCAGCAGAATATGTCTAATAACAACTACAAATAATAAAAAACTGCGGTTTCCAACCCGCCTGCTCAGTGTGGCAACTAGAGCAAATTATGACAATTTATGGGGGATTCCTATGTTCAGCAGTGGGGAAAACTGTGACTTGGACGGACCACGTGATACTATTTTGCTGCCATCACCACAATAAGCTGGCGGATTAACGATCATTGTACCAATAGTGTACCACCCTTAACTACGGGGTAATAAACATTTAAACCAGCCTTCATGTTATGTCTTTTACGTGGTAGAGCCATGCTGCAGCTATATTAGTAGTATTGTTATAGCACGAATGGGTCGGCTCGACCGGAGAAGGACCACGCTCTCGTAGAATATCAGCGTAAAATAGCAGCTTCACGCTGCTGTGTTTCGTATGGTGAATGTAGAGAACCGGAGAACCTTTTTACTGGAAACGAGGCATTCCATCTTAGTCCTCAAGGGTAGAGAGGCATTCCATCTTAGTACTCAAGGGGATAGATGTCTATGGGCCACAGCAATCATTTAACATCAGGACTGTGTGCTCGTTTGTCCCCCTTATCCTATAAAAAAATATTTTTTCGTATCTGAATAAGTACTTAATAGTTGTAATCTAAGAACTACTAAATTGCAGACCTTGAGAACTTCAAATTATACTTAATAAAGTAACACAGTAATAATGATCATAATTTAGAATAGTAAACTCAAATTGTTGATGTAGCCTTTTACGCCCTGGAACTGATAAATTTCAACAATATAACACTTACTTGCTGTTGTTGAGTTAGTCCAGGCGGCAGTTGGCTACGTATGAAGGTGACACTTTGAGGAGCTGGTGTTGGTGAGTTCCCGGCACCAGCCACGCCACCCGGTTGCTGTTGATAATGTTTTGATGTTTTTAAAACGTATGTAATTTTAATCACATGCCTCACGGCAAGTAAATTCTCTTAAACCTGAAAGATTAGAAGTTGAGCTTCTCTAATATAATATATAATAATAATCTAGTGTTGAGCAACTGCGTAAATCTACTAACAACGAAGCTTCCGAACGAAACAAAAGAACTACAATAGACGTAAATCCTGAATATATGAATAACTACATATGTACCAAAATATAAACTATAATGTAGGTAGAATAATATTTAAGAATATAGAGATGTGTGAGTGCAATCAAAATGCGAACATCGAATGCATTGTCGAATAGACGATACGTAGTTTGGTTTTTGCAGTAGCCCCCTTCATTTTGAGTTTTTAATGAGGTATTTAAAATATTTAGATAGATAGATTAAGATTAATCTTTATATAATTATTTTGTCCGTGTGTACGTTACTGAACTCCTCCAAAACGGCTGGACCGACCTTGATGAAATTTTGTGTGTGATTAAGTTGATTCGAGAATGGTTTAGAATCACAATTGGACCCGGTAGGTGACGCTGTTGTCGAGATCCAGGAATCAGCCTTGCGGTGCTGAGGCGGAGCGCTAGTAATAATATACTCGTATAGCTGAGAAGTTAGCCAGTAAAGGTTATGATACAGTATTAGTATTGTACACCATTTCAATTTTTTCGCCAAATATAAGTTACGTTATTGTAACAAATTATTACTATTATAATTAATTATAGAAAATGATTTCCTATTTTTAGCTGATATCAAAAAAACAGAGGAGGTTAACAGTCCGAGTGTATGTTTTTTGTATGAATGTTACACGATATCTTCGTTGTAGAATATGAAAACTCTTTTCTAATTGTTTTTTTAATTAAATAGGTTACTCTTCAGAGGTGGTCCCATATAAATCTGGAGAAAAAATTTCACACGTAAGTGTGGCGAAATAGGGGATGAAGTTTTTAATGGAACTATTTAGACCGAATGGAGATTGTGATATTTCTTAATCCACTCAAAAGTTCGAGTTTTAATTCTTCTATACAATACGTGGTAGCTTTTACTTTTTATTACAAGTTATTTTTTATAATTTTCTTTGCGCGTTTAACGTCAACAATGATACTTGAATTTACTAAAAAAAGAAGATTCAAGAGCCGTTCTTAAATTGTATGTATTTATTTGACACTATATACTGCGCAAACTTCGGAGTGAAAGTGGAGAGTGCTTTGTTTCAATGTACTTTCTTCTTCTACTAATATACGGGGCGGAGGTGCTAATCTAAACCATTATCGAATCAACTAAATCACACACACAAAATTTCATCTAAATCAGTCCAGCCGTTTAGGAGTATAGGAGTATATAACGATAAAGAGACGATGTCACGCAAATTAATAATTAATATTTATATAATTATTTATATAATTAATATTATATAATTTGGTTTTTTAATTTTCACATAAGAACACAATTAAATGTTTTATCAAACTTAACTTACTTATTATTTGTTTCTACGTGGTAGAGCCATGCTGCAGCTCTATTATGGTTGTAGCACGAATGGGTCGGCTCGACCGGGGTAGGACCACGCTCTCACAGAAAACCAGCGTAAAATAGCAGCTTAACGCTGCTGTGTTTCGTATGGTGAGTGTAGAGAACCGGAGACCCTTTTTACTGGCAAAGAGGCATTCCATCTTAGTCCTCACGGGTGACAACGCATCTGCATCTTGAGTCTTTATTGAGGATAGATGTAGATATCTATGGGTCACAGTAACCACTTACCATCAGGTGGACTGTGTGTTCGTTTGTCACCCGATTATATAAAAAAAAAATCGTTTATACAAAAAAAATTCAAGTTTTTCGGGTAAAATACAGCCTAAATGTCTCCTATCATTGTTCTCTATCTTTTCGTAAAGTTTCATCACATTTGTTTCAGCCATTCCGAAGATTAGCTCGGACAGAAAGACAATTTATTAAAATGGTTTCTTTTATATGTCTTAATAGCATGCAAAAGCTTAATAGAAGCCAGTTATTGCAAATATTACAGAAAGACACTTAAAGTTCATTTCTATGTTCAGAGATATGCCACGATACCCTGTACATTTATAAATTAAATAAAAACACATCAAATCGCCTGTTTGAGAGGTTTTAAAGAGAATAATATCCAGGCTGTAAGAAATTTGACGAATAGGTTTTTAACGATCTATTATTGCCACGCTGTGCCCGAACGTCCGAACGAGACAACTGCAGCTTAGAATTATCGAAACAGAACAGTACAGATCATACCTGATGTGATGTCTTGTTTCCTCTTCCAAATCTGGAATGATTTTTTTTTTCATAAACAATATTATGAATTGTGGCTGGCTGTATATTTCTCTTTTATTTTTTATGTTGTTGAATTTGTCTGCTGAATGTATAATAGTGGGGGTATATAACTATGCAATTGTAGTTATTTTAGAAGATTCCCGTTTTTAAATAATTAATTTTTGAAAAATACATAACATAGGAAGGGACAGGTAGTATTTGTTCTATTTATACATAATATGTTGTTCTAGCATCATTATCCATTCAAAACAATAAAATACGCCTGCATGGACTAAACGCCGCCAGGCCAGGTCGCTGTAAGAATGCTAACTGGAATGTATTTACTTTGAAAATTTGCATTTGCTATTTTCAAACGATTGTAATGGAACAAGAGCCGGTACCCTATTAATTTATTTAAGTGCTAGTGATGACTCTTTCCATCACCAGAGAACCACAGCCAATCGTTTTGGGCCCACTAGAAAATCTAACGTAAATTAATTTTATTACACAAAAAAAGATACCAATTTAGTAAACGGCCTAAAGATTTTATGAAAATCTAATCGAAATCATGAAATCTGAAAACAATCGTTTTAATATTCGTGTTCTGACTAATGTAATATGAAAAAAAACGCGTGTAACGAAATATTATCTATGGTAACGAAGAACGAACTACTAAAAAGATTTTCCATCGATCGTAAAGTACCTATAAATACTGAATGTACCTACAACTTTGTTTTATACTATTAATTATTGACTAGTGCCATATTTTTACTTATAATACCGGGGAAAACTATTAGACAATCGCTTTTAGTTTGTTTTAGGTCATTGTTGTGATATTGATATTTTACTTATTAATTTCTCAGTATTCCCGTTAGATACGTTAAAACTAATATTACTATTGTAATCTACAGATTATAAAGAATAAATCGAAATGTATTTCATTTAGTTACGCCACAATTTGTAGTGGGCCCATTCTCCATACAAAAACAAATGGTCTCCTTTGGAGTCAAGGTCTTGGAAGGATTAGGCGATATCCATTACATCTTCGTAACATCTTCCTGGTAACAACTCAATAATAACAAAAAAGAAACTGTGGTCGCCAATCCGCCTACTAAGTGATAAAATCGACCCTCATAACCAATTCATGGATCTATGAGAAAGGCCATATGTTCAGCAGTTGACTTATAATAGGCTGTATGTATAAATAAATAAAATAAAATAATGCACCTATTTACTATGTCCTCTAGGGTACCAGAAAATTTGGTAGTGATAAGAAAAAATTAAAAAAACTAAATATTTCAACTATCATTTATTTGAACGAAAATCAGGATCAGCTCGATAAAAATTAACCTTTTGGATCAGGACTGCTTGTTTGTTGCTTTAATCTCTGAAGAAAAGAAATAAAACGGTTTAAGTTCAAAGGAAAATTATACCACGAAATTGGACATTCACAACACATATTTGAAAGATTTCATTGATTAAAACCCTGTCTTGGCGGTGTGAGAGTATCCACTACTACCCCATATCGTCCCGTGGGTGTCATAAGAGGCGAGAGAGGGAAATTTAACAGGAGATGGGCAGCAGCATCTTCCTGATAACAACTCTAAATAATTAAAACTGCGGTTGACCATCCGCCTGCCAAGCGTGGCATCTGTGGCAAAATCAAAATAATAAAATTTAAAGTCTGGAAAAGTAATCCCTTCCTTGTTCATGAATTAAGGAAAAGGTGTGTTTAAGACAAAGGCATTTAAGCCGTAAGTGAGTGTCTGCGCTGACTGTTTAATCAATTAATAAAATAAGGTGTTGCTTTTGTGAAATTGTATACAAACTTAAGTAAGTAATTTTATTGTTTACAGATAAGTAGAGCATTGACAAAAAAAACAATTATGGCAATGGGCCGGCCAAATAGCTCTAAGAATCGACGACCGATGAGGAAGAAAGGTTCTTGATTGGCAACTTGGTACCGGTAGGCGAAGTGTAGGGTGGCCATCCACTAGATGGAGTGACGTCCTGGTAAGATATACAGGAAGTCGATGGTGGCAGATGGTTCTGGACTGTGCTGTGACATTCCTTGAGGAAGGCCTATGTTCGGCAGTGGACTTGTGAAGGGCTAATAGGAAAGGGTAATGATGAAATAGAGCATTGGGGAATTATTACATTGTTTTAACACTTACACTGTCCGGTTTTCAGACACAATAGTAAGATAATAGCAATGACCTATATGTAGTGCACGGGACAGCGAAAGGGTTAATAATTATTAGTAATAATGTCCTCCAGACCGAGTTTCGGTAACAGTCTCAACGGAGACTGGCCATTTTCACATAGGACAGGACTATAGCGCCCGAGTGTATGTGCTAGCACAAGTGCACTCTCTATTCCCTTACTCTATTAGTCAAATGGGACGGTTATCCAACACGACCGGAGAGAGATTAGGCGCAGGACCAACGGCTTTAGTGGTTTCCAAGGCACATGGGTGAAACACCGCCAACTTGGAATGCTACTGAGAATTTCTTGACAGAAAAAAATCTATCGAGGCAATCGTATTAGAGATATATATTTAATGGCGTTGTTTCTCAAAAGGAATTCCTGAGAAATGTGCTAAAAAACTTTGGTAGACATTTTATAAACAGTCAAACCTGAGTAAGTGAGAAAACTCTGTAAGCGAGAATTATTGTCAGAGGGCCCGTAATTTTAGCCTCCTTAACCTCTATAAGTGAGAAACAGAAACCTGTATAAGTGACAGTCGTTTTTCACTTGTGGACCTCTATTACCGAGATTGTTACTTGCTTTTACCTCTATGAACGACATTTAAACGTATTTAACATTTGCTCTTTATGACTGATTGCTATGGGTCATTGTTATTATAAAAATAAGATGAAGCCGACCAATCACAGATGTTGGATAGAGAAGCAGAGAACATTCCAAGAAAACAAGAAGCTTTAAAAGAGACGCTCCATTAGCTTTTTGAGTATTTGGCGGTTGTTAATAAAACCGTATTTGTTAAAAATTTATGAACTGGAAAAACATTGCTCTCTATCTGTTCATCAAGTTTCATTATAATCGGTTCGGGCATTCCAAAGATTAGCCCGGACAGACAAACAGACAGACAATTTTTATTAAATGGTTATTCGTGTCTTATTAGCATGCAATTAGCTCAGCTCAATAAAATACTGTTATTTCGATATTGCAGACAGATACTTCGGTTTTATTTATATGTAGTATATTGCCCAAATACAGCTACTTGTACATTACTCAAATTTAAATATATCGTTAAGTCTCGTGGTGTCACAGTCACTTTGACTTAATTTATATTTAGCCATATGTGTATTAAATTGTAATATCATAATCAAAACCTTGGATTAGTCCTATAGAAGACAAATTACTTAACCTGAGAAAAACATCTATTCTTGTGAAAGGATTTGTGTATACACCACGAATTATTTTTTTATAAAAGTAAGGGTGACACGCAAGCACACAGTCAGCACACAAAAGTAGATGCTGCGTTTCATAGATGTCTACATTTTACTTTACCAAAAATTTAAATACAGGTGTGTGTCGCTCCTTAATACTTGTTATCAGTAACCCAATGTAAAATGTAGAAACAGAAACTCAGAACAAATTTACGGATATTTTCAAGTAAATGATGTTAGCTTTTTTTTAAAACTATGTCCAAATAATATTCTACTAAATGATATCCTGTATGGATATCATTTATTAGAATAATGTTTATAATTTACAAACATGTTTATCACTACATATTTGCTGCATTTTAGGGACCTCTATAAGAGAGACAGACCACTCCCGTACTTCTATAAGCTAGAAACTGGGGTTAGTGAGAAACCTCCAAAAGTGAAAAAGAGTTCGCGGTTCCTTGAACTCTCTCTTATCCAGGTTCGACTGTATATTAAAAATAAAATAGTAGGTACAGTAAAGCGAGTTTAGGTTGTAAATGTTGTTAATGGTAATTTTTAGAGTCACTAAACGATGAGATATTTTTCTTTAAAATAATGAATAATCATAAAAAAGGGGAACGGAAGTTTGGGTGCTATAAAACGAGCTTATGCTTGTACCAGCATTTATATCTTCTAGACTTTTTTAAGATCCTTCACTGTCACACATGAGGATATGAGGCAACTCAAGGTTGTTCAGCAAGTTATGGAGAGGGCTATGTAGTTTCACCGCAAATGAATATTTGCTATAGAACCAAAGTAACCGATGTAACCAAACAGATCAGTAAGCTGAAGAGGACAAGAATGGTTTTAAACTTTTAAATAACTAAGAGAGAAACATGTTTACTATTGTCAGAGACAATCTCTTTACTACTGTCAGAGACAATCAGGTATTTAAACTAAAATAAATTGTGACCCTAATATGTGACACAAATTTTGACATTGTGAAGTAACTCAGGGTCATATTTCATAGTACTCGAACAAACTGACTTTGATACGAATTGAGCACTCACGCTCACGTTGATTGAAAACCTTGTGGAAAAACCACCGCATGTCCAAAAAATAAAAAAGTCAATAACATTTGAAGTCTGCTAACATTTGGCCTAAAACCCACAAAGAGTAAGACGAGGCTTGTGCCCAGCAGTGGAGCATACATGTATACTTTACTTACATTGACTTAAATAGAGTGCATATCCATACAATATAAAATCAGATACTATGGGACTACATTCTGTGGGAGGGGCCCAGATTCAGCTGTGAACTGTTTGTAAGCTGATAAAAATCAAAATAAAAAATAAAATATTTTTAAAATTACTTTAAAAAGATTTAGAGAGAAATTATTTTAATATTAAGCTTTTCGACTAAATTGGCGACATTGTAGATGACTAAATTAAAAGAAATATTAACTGAAAAATTATAATCTACACCTTAATCAAAAGATAGTAACAATATTGTAATAATTATAATGATAGTAAAATATAGTGTAATAATTGATATCATCTGCTCATACAAATATATCTGCACAATATATCTACAAATATGGCATAGGATATTAACTGCAAATAAATACAGGTTGGTTGCTGAAACAATGTGATTAAATTTGCCTAGGTCCTTTTTAAACTTTATATGACATTCTATCCAAATTATTCGCCTTTTAGTAAATGCTAATGCAACACTTGCATCAAAATCTAAATCCTATTCTGACAAGCTGTCTAGCAAATCTAGAAGCAATATACGACAACTTTTTGTAGGTAATACTCTGTATAAACAATCCGCTCCAAAAAAACATGTCTAGTAAGTTTGAAGGATTTCAAGTGAATGTATCATATTGTACATTATTATATCTGCGTAGTGTGTGACACTTTAAGATAATTAAGTTTTTATACACAGATAAAAATTATCATATCTGCGTAGTCTGTGACTCGCTTTACTGAAAGGACCTTTACTTTCCTTGTCTGATAAATCGATTAGTAAATTTAATTGCAGCATGCATCCGAAATCTTAAAAATTAAAAAAAAATATTGTAAAAGAAAGCATGGACACGAGATTTATAAAATCAATATTTTAATTAAATTGAGCAGTGTTTGAAATATTTTTTAACATAACATTTTCTAAACTTTCTATAAATATGTTTTCATATTCTAGATGTAGTGTTAATTAAACAGTTCAGATTACTAGGTACACATAATTAAATGTGTTTAAGACCTACTTACAGGTACACGTATATTAAATGTGTTTAAGACCTACTTACTAGTATATGAAGCACACAAAATGTACAATATGTGCATTTCTGAGAGTGTGACCAATAGCCCAACTAGTATTGCACTGCCACTATACATTCGAGCTGTAGGTGGTTATTATGTCTACACACTAAGTGACATTATATATATATATATATATATATATTTAATAGGATAAGGGTGACAAGCAAGTACACAGTTCACCTGATGGTAAGTAGTTGTTGTAGCCCACAGACATTTACATCTATCCTCGTTTGCAAATCAAAATGCAGATGTGTTGTCAGCTGTGAGAATTAAAATGGAGTGCGTCTTTTGCAGTAAAAAGGGTCTCCAGTTCTCTACACTCACCATAAGAAACACAGTAGTTTTAAGCTGCTATTTTACGATGGCATTCTGTGAGAGTGTGGTTCTTTCCCAGTCGAGCCGACCGATTCATGCTACAACTATATAATTAATATAGCTGCAGTATGGCTCTACCACATATTAAACTGAACCTCTACTTGAGTACTTTAGTTTATATTCAAATATACAAATAGGACCACATAAATTCTAACATGTCACTTATAAACTGTAATTTTTAAATGTTGTTAGTCATTTTAGGATCTGCTTAGACGTGTATCATAAAATAATAATGATAAACACTGTAATCAATTACCTGTTGCTGTGCTAATGCTGCAGCCCTCTGTATTGATAATTGACGCCGCTTCTGTAGTTGTGCCACAAACATTGCTCTCTGTTTTGGGTCCATTTGTTGCAATTGAGCGTGGGTTTGCGCATCCAAATGGATAAGCTGCCTTCCACCTCCACCAGCTGTCCACGAAACCTTTGGGACCATATGGATCACATATCACAAAAAGGTATGTTTTTAAAATGAATTGTTAGCAATTTTTTGTTGAATATTACAGACAAATTAAAGTGCTTGAAATTTTTTTTTATTTTCTTTACAGTTTACAGTTTTAATTCTATAGTACATTCTGTTCTCCAATCTTGTGAGTTTACTCTAAGTGAATTCTAAATTAAGCATAAAGTATATTACTCATTAAAAAAATAAATTGGTTAGTTTTCTTCTTAATTACTACATATTTTACAATACATTTCTAAATTAGGTAAAAAGTTTTGTTAGTAATTACCTAAACTCTACATACTTAGTAACTTACATACTCACACCTTTCATACATTTTTTGCTTAGTTACGAAGTTACCTCATAAAATTTGATTTTATTTATATCGACGCTTTTTTGTCCCCAAAAAGTGCTATGATTAAAAGAGAGCATTAGAAAAGAGAGAAATATGTAAAGTGAAATTATAAGGAAAGTAGATTAATTTAGACTTAAGATTCTATAGGAAAAATAATTATAAAAAAGAAGTGTAATAAAAACAATATTCTTTTATTTACCCTTGGTCCTACTGTTCCCGCCTGGCCTATCTGCTGTCTTTGCAAATACTGTTGCTGTTGCCAAGAAACATTTTGACCACCTTGCACTATTTGCTGTCCTCCTGGTGAAACAATCTGTTGACCTCCACTATGTGTGATAATTTGTTGAATGTTTCCACCAGCTGTCAGTTGAGATCCAGGCTGTGGGGATTGAGGCACTTGTGACAGAACTTGTTGACCTTGTCCAACAGTCTGCCCGATAATTTGCTGTCCTGTTTGTGACACAATTTGTTGAGATGACTGAGCTATAACAACTTGGTGCTGTTGCCCTTGCTGTGTTATTACATGCTGTCCACCCTGTGATAACACTTGCTGACCTCCCTGGGTAATAATCTGTTGGCCACCTTGATTGACTATCTGGCCCCCTTGATGAACAATTTGATTTTGGGATACAATTTGCTGGCCACCCTGTAAAGTCACTTGTTGGTTACCATGCACCAATATTTGCTGTTGCCCTGTATGTTGATTAATTAACACTTGTTGTGGCGCTTGTACTAGTTGCTGCTGTCCACTGCTATTAAGCAACTGTTGCTTTTGGACCAATATTTGATGATGAGTTTGACCTTGAGAACCAATAGACTGCTGTAAGATTTGCTGAGAGGCTTGTTGGATTGTATGTTGCGGACTTAATTGTGCTTGTTGATTGTTTATCAGAGCTTGTTGCTGTGTCTGCATTATCTGTTGCTGTAAAATTACTTGGTTCTGTGGATTGCGAGTTTGCACCAATGGGCTTCTGATTATTTGATGCTGGCCTTGTACATTTTGAACCATTTGTATGTTTTGTTGCCTCCAAGACCCTTGAACTGGCACATTGCCACTTTGTTGGCTTGTAAGCCCTTGCTGTACTGATTGTATCTGTTGCCCAATAACATTTTGCTGACCAGTATTACTAACAAGCTGATTCAGTTGAACACCCTGACTACTTTGGCCCTGAGATGATGTCACAAGCCCCTGCTGACTCACCACACCCATGTTTATACTTTGTTGCTGGTTGGTCAAGGATTGCACCGTTTGTTGTTGAATCAAGGTTTGATTTTGAGCTGATAGCTGCTGCCCTGAGTTTATTAGCTGTTGTTGGTTAAGAACCTGAGTCTGACCCAAATTTTGATTAAGCTTTGCATTCTGCAAGCTCTGCTGTAAGTTTTGAGTCGACTGAGCAAGTTGTTGAGCAATATTCTGAACTGCACTTTGCTGGCTTAGACTCAAACTTTGTTTCATGGCTAAGTTCTGTTGGTTTAATTGTGCTTGCTGGAGATTATTAGCACTTTGGCTTAACATTTGACTAATACTCTCAATTTGCTGCTGTGCAGAGCTCATTGATGTGTTTGGCGATTGATTCAAGTTTTGATTCTGTTGTATATGGTGCTGATTATTCTGAATATGTTGTTGGATTTGATTTGAAATATTTTGATTGATCTGGGCCACAGAAACATTAGATTGTTGGAATCCTTGCTGTTTCTGTTGTAACATTTGCATTCTGAGCTGGTGCTGTTGCAACAATTTTTGTTGCTGTATTTGAATTGCAGATAAACCATGTGGTTGTTGTTGCTGTTGCTGCTGCTGTTGTTGTTGCTGTTGTTGTTGCTGCTGCTGGTGTTGCTGCTGCTGCTGTTGTTGTTGTTGCTGGTGTTGCTGTTGTTGCTGCTGCTGATGTTGTTGTAGCTGCTGTTGTTGCTGTAGCTGATGCTGTTGCTGTTGTTGTTGTTGCTGATGTTGTTGTTGTTGCTGCTGCTGATTTTGATATGATTGCTGTTGTTGCACATTTATTTGTTGACCCTGCATACTAATACCAGCTTGTGATACTAAAGAACTTTGACCAAACTTTTGCATTAGTTGGGTATTACCCTGACTATTTTGGATTTGGAGATTTTGGGTGGCAATACCTTGGGGCATTGATTTGCTAATAATGCCAGCTGTAGACATCGCTGTAGTATAACCCATTGAACTTACAGCAGCAGTAGCTATTGCTGAAGTGTTAGTGTTAGATGATGGAGGATGATTCCAAGGCATCCTCTGCTTAAGTTTATCTAGAAGTGCCTGTGTGCTGTCATCTTTATTTTCAGTCATATTCTGAGTGGGCACTTCATTTTTTGCTATGCCTTCCTCAAAGTCAAACCCAGTTATGGCACTAATACGATCCATTGGTTTAGGAGGTGGTTGAGGAATTATTAACAATTTTGGATGAAAAACTTCAGCTACTGCTTGTATTCTTGCCCTCAAACTCTCTATCACCCAGTCCGGGGTTACTATCTTCACTCGAGAAGGAGGCAAAGTAAGAGCTAAACTGTACTTTTTTCCAGATGCAGAACCACAAATAAGATGGGTGCACTGAGAGTCAAAATTCAATTTTATCTTTCCCCCATGATATGTAAGGAGAGCAAACAATGACTTAATATCTGCTGGGCTTACTTTCGATATGCATGCAATGACATTCGAAAATATTTTATTCTTATTAGGGCTGTATGGTTTTGGATTCGCCAATTTCTTCAAACGGGCGCACGCAAGAACCCAGCTTTCGGTTACAGCTGGAATCTGGTAGATATCCTGTGCGTCATCAAGATCCGTATCAGCGGCATTTTGACCACAAATTAGATGTGTAACATAATCTGAGAAATATTTTGTGTTTTCTGCGCCGCCTGACTGCAGCAAGTGCAAAATCTGCAATAACAACGACGCGACTAATAACAGCGAACGTCAATTTATAAATAACAACAAAAACAAAAATAAATAAAAACAAACCCTTTCAGAGACATCGCCAGAGAGGTAATATTTAACATCCTTAAATATAGGCTCTTGCAAACTCAAAGAATCTAGATCGTCAACAATCGTTACCATTTTCTGTTTTAACAGACAATAGAAAATTTTCGTTTAAACTATCATTTTCATGGTAAAATCTTTTGAATGCGACAAAAACTGATACTATACGACGACGTCCATGTTTAATGTTGCCAATTTTTGTTTGGGGCAGCGGCACATATAGGTTATGGAGGGTATTTTTTTTTTTTGAGTTTACGGCCTGGCATCTAGACCTTTAGGCCAAGTCTTGAGTATTTTTATTCGGTTTATTATAATTTCCCCACAGTATTTTTGATGAATTTATATAGAGGCACGTAATAGGATCTATTTTTTAACATATCACTCAGGCGGCGGGAGGGATCTTGCACTGTCACTTGATTTTGCACTATGTCACTAATTTCACTGACAAGAATCAATCTGTCAAATGAAAAGCACTCACATGTAAATATGAAATGTTCGATATCACCAACAGAATTATTGCAGAAGGTGCAGTAACTGCTCTCCACTATGCCCAATCGAGCCAGGTGGGCCGGGACGGTGGAGTGACCAAAGCGCAGTCTATTTATAGTGGTAACAAAGTCCCGACTGGCCATTTTCAGTTTGTTATACCATGGTGCTACAGGTAGTTTTTCTTGAACAGTTCTATACCATTTACCCTTCTGTTCTTGATCTTGTTTCCAAAATTCGACCCATAAGCTATTGACCTGGTTGTCAATAGATTGATAACAGTCGGTCAAAGGTACTTTTACTATGGAGCTAACATCCAACATGTTTGTTCCATCACGTGCAATTTTATCTACTATCTCATTTCCTGTTATGCCCCTATGTGATGGAATCCACATGAAAGAGACCTGTATACCCTTTTTTGCATAACTAAATAACAATTTTTTAATATTATACAAAATATAGTTTTTTTTAAAGTCAAATCTGAGATTAGTTAAACTTTGGACCATACTTAAACTGTCTGTTAAAATTAAAAAATTATTAAAACTATTTATATGTGCAATCCTCTTCAGGGCCTCGAGGGCCGCATATACCTCTGCAGTGAAAACACTGCATTTAGGGTCCAGAAGAAAACTTTGACCAAACTTGCATTGTGGATCATAAACGGCACTGCGCACAAAGAGCTCACTTTTGCTACCATCTGTATACAAAGTATAGTAGTTATTGTCGGAAATGAAACTTAATAATTCACAATTATTAAAAAAAATTTTGGTAACAATATTGGTCTCAAATATAATACAGGAATATGTGTATGTGTAGCATGTCCACTTTGATTGTTTAATTACATTTTTAAAATCTTCATTCATTTGCTGTACAATGAGAGGCAAAACTGGAAAATAACCTTGTAAAAGCTCACCTCCCGAAGTCTGCTGGACCGAGCATTGTAAAGGAAAAGGTACTATTTTTTTGAGAACATTATCATTACCAGATACCAGCTTTAGTAAATATCTCTCTATTAGCAGAAGTCTTCTAAGACACAGTGGCATTATTTTGGTTTCAACTTCCATAGCTCGTATGGGAGTTGAACACATAGCCCCAGAAATAATTCGCAGAGCTTTGTTTTGAATTATGTCTAGTTTTTTTACACAACTACTATTTGAGTAGGCTAAACAACTGTAGTCGAAATGGCTTCTGACTATAGATTTATATAGCATACTTAAAACTTTGGGGTCTGCACCCCAAGTCACACCAGCTAAACATCTTATAATATTTAAGCCCTTAAGAGAGTTAGTTATAATGTGATTGATGTGTAAATTAAAACAAAGTTTGTTATCAATGACAACACCCAGGAATTTATGGTTAGATACAACTGAAATTGGATGATTATTGTAGAGTATGCCATTAGAGGGAAAATCTTTACTAAAAATCATGGCCTTGCTTTTGTTAGGGTTAATCTGTAGAGCCAACTTGTCATTATAATATATGTACAATTGCTCTAAAGCATTATTTATACTATTTACAGCTCTATCTACATTATGGTCTGTACAATATATTACAAGATCATCCGCAAATTGTAAAATATTTACACCTTCTATATTTACAAAATTAAGAATTTGACTAGTGTATATGTTGTACAACAATGGAGATAATGTAGCCCCCTGCATTGTACCTTTGGAGACCCTTCTGGGACCATGGAGAATATTATTATGCCTTATATACAAAGTTCTATCTATTAAAAAATTAAATAACCAATGGCAAAGTATGCCTGGTATACCAATGTCAGAAAGAACTTGAACCAAAATGCCAGGATCTACATTATCAAACGCACCTTCAATATCCAGAAAAACACAAACACTGGACTTATTATTATTATTGGCATATTTCAGATCTGACAAGAGAGAGATGAAGCTGTCAGCACAACTTCTGCCTCTCCGGAAGCCATATTGAACATGTGGAATGATGTTGTTCGCCTCTACATAACACTCAAGACGCATCTTTATCATGTTTTCATTAAGCTTTCCAACACAAGATGACAAAGATATAGGACGATATGAATTAGGATCTTCAGGTGGCTTGTCAAGCTTAAGTAAAGGGATTACACACTGTGTTTTCCAAGATTCAGGAATTTTTTTTAAGTGCCAAAGAGCATTAAGATTAGCTAATAGTTTCTTTTGTACGGACTGATTTAGGTTTTTAATCAAAATGTATGGACAATTATCTAAACCAGGGGTTGTGTTTCGTCTGGATTGTAAACTTGTACAAAACTCACTCCAAGTAAAGGGTTCTATGAGGAAACTGGACTTCTGAAGACTATTATTAATTTGAAAATAACTTTCTAGATTATCAATAACCCTACATCCATTTCGAGATAATTTGTCTAAAAGAGGGACTACAAATTCGTCTTTATATGTTCTATTATTGCATTTTATTCGTTTAAATAACTTGATGTATTTCCAAATAATACTAACAGGTGTAGTTCTGTTAAAAGCATTACAGATGTTAGCCCAACCATTGCGTTTATGTTCTGAAATAGTCTTTTTCTTAACAGCATTAAGTCTTTTGTAATTAATGTAATTATCAATGGTTGGATCTCTTCTGTACAGTTTTAAAGCTTCATAAGTTTTAATAACACTCTGTTCACATGTGTCACTCCACCAAGGTGCTGGAGGTTTGCAACGATAGTTGTTTGCTTTGACAAACTTTGGCACAGTATCTCTCCTAAGTGTATCAAGCCTTTCAATAAATTCATCATATGACAGTAATGGATTCTCATTATTAACTTCAAAATTAGAAAAAGCAGTTATAGACAGCTCATTGTATTTTGTCCAGTCTGTCTTGTTGTATAAGAATTTTTCAATGGGATGATTAATTTGGTATCTATCAACTGACAATAAAACACGAGTAAGCGTAGGAAAATGATAGCTCCCCATACAATCATCATGCACCCACCATTCGCATAGTGGAGTGATTGAAGCACTACAAAAGCTGACATCAATAGCCGATGGATTTCGGTTAGGATAATTAATAGTAGTGAAGCTACCATTGTTGAGGACACATAGATCGAATTCATCAATTAAATCGTATAACTGATGACCCCGACTTTTCGTGGTCATACACCCAAATGCCACATGGTGAGCGTTGAAATCTCCAGCCACATATATTGGCTTAGGCAAATCTCTAATTATATCACGCAGTTTACTTATTCTGAAGTTACCATTCGATGGAGGGCAGTATACACATAAAATCGTTAATTGTTTACCACTTACATATAACAATAATGCCACAGTCTGAATGTCTTGGTAAAATCTGGTTTGAATAATATTATATTTAAAATACGGTTTGATCAAAATTGCTACTCCACCATGCTCATTTTGGGCATTATGATAGTGGAAATTATATCCCGAAATGTTAAAATGCTGAGTATCTTTCAGCCAAGTTTCATTGAGTAGACAGATATCAACATTTTGTTCATCTAAAAATTTAGACAATAAGGATTTTTTCCTATGTATACTTTGAATATTGTACTGAGCTATACATAACTGCTGTATGTTCTGTACTGTACTGTCCATTATTGTGACAGATTTTTTAAAAGTAAGTCTTTAATGAACAGTGTAGTCACAGGTTCATTATCTGTTTTATTACCTAATTCGACTAAAGTTTGGACCATTGCCATCAAAATATTCTTATTGTTTGCAATTTGAGCCTTAAGTTGAGTTTGGTTCAAGTTGGGTTCAGGCACTGTTTTATTTACATTATTTACAATTTTTACATTTTTATTTAATTTATGTACATTTTGGTTTATTGATGGTAGGGTCTTAACAATGCTGCTCGACTGTGCAGGTAAAGACGGAAAATCAGATGACTTAATTGTATTAGCTACAGAGGCATAAGTAATTTTACCCTTTTTTTCAAGTATTTTTTTCATTTTTATTGGGCAAGATTTGGAAATGGCCAGGTGGGGACCACTGCAATTGACACAACACAGGTTTTCTTTTTTATCACAGTCTCTGAAATTATGTTCCCCAGCACATATCGAGCAACGTTGTTTACCATTACAAATTTTCGCAGGGTGGTTGAACTTGAAGCACCGGAAGCATTGTTGTAACGGTGGGACATATTCAAACACCCTGAACGAAAATAGGTCATATTGGATGTTGTCGGGCAGAACATTTGATAGGAAAGTTATACTGACCGTCTCGAGACCTACAGTACTTTGACCGACTTTTTTCGTGAATCTTCTCACTGAAATAATTTCATAAATCGAAGACAGTTTCGTATATAATTCCTTGTTCGAAATGTTGGTAGGCACATATCGGATGATTCCAGTTTTTTCTATCTGCGCTGCAGGAATATGCGCCTTCAAGTTGTGCTTTGTTAAAAAGTCTGTATTTGTGATGAAATTATTTGCAGTGTTGTATTGTTTAAAAACAACCGCAATTTTGTTGGCATTGACTCTATGTAAAGCTACCACACCTTTCACCTCCGAAGTAAAAATATGATTTAAGTAAACTGGGCTTTTATTTCCAAGTTTAACCTGTTTGTCCTGGCTTTCAACGAAAACTTTGAAGTCCGTATTTGTACAATGTTCAGGATAT